AAAATTATCTTCTCATCACTTACTCTTCTAAACGCCTTGAAATTGGTCTCTGTCTCTTTAAGAACCACCTTCTGCTTCTGTCCCATCCCATTTCGCGGTTCGCTATGATGCAGTTTACTTTGCTTCTGAAATACATTTCCTCAAAGGTATTTTTAATCTGAAAAGAGCTTCACTGAGTGAGCAGTAGTGTTAAGAGCAGCAGACAGTTTAAGTTTCACTTTCACTTTGCTCTGTTACTGCCGAGATAGTCTGGTTTAAACCAGACCCTTGTCCTTCACTTTGCTTCGTACAAGGGTCTGGACTTGCTGCATAGAGAATTGATTTCTTGCAGGAGGCGTGGCCTCTGCTGAAGCGTGTGTGTTGTCGGTGTGACGGAGGCTAAGCTAAGAATCTAACAGGAAATCGCGTGTGCTGTAAACAACCCTACTGAGAGGAAAAATATACCGAGCCAAACGAGACGACTGTAAATGAGAGCTGCTGCTTTGTCAGACAAATTTAATTTAATTAGGAAGCCTTATCAACACAGACTGGCTTCATTCACTTCCTCCACTGCTGTATACTAAAATAACTAGCAGACATTGCGCAGAACATAGACGTCATTCAAAACTCCACTTTCTGTTCTCTGATTGGCCCAGGTAAAATAAACTACAAGCAGACACTGCGCAGAAAATCGACGTTCTGTTCTCTGATTGGCCCGGCTAAAAATCTGCCAGCGAAATCCATCTCAATGGGAGAAGTCCCAGACGGAGCAGAGAAGGGAAACTAAAATTGAGCGGAACTGCGTAGGAAGGCAAGAGCCAGGCAACTGCCGAGAGCCTGCAGGAGTCATGGGTGGGGTGGGGGGTGGGGTGCTCTGCCTTGAGGAAGTTCAGCTTAAAGACACGTCCCAGGGGCGTTTCTGGTCCCCACCTGTTGTTTTGCTCCTCAGCATGGCTTACTAAAAACGCTGCAGGATTTCTCAAACATGCATGAATGAGTCAGAGCAAGGCTTTGGGCATGTTTTTTATGAGAGTATAACATTATAACATGATATAAAACTCAAAAAAGTTGATTTTACAAGATGTTGACCCTTTAATTAATCATCTACTACACAACAAGTTCTCAGTCATTTGCTCTTTAGGAATCTTCCTGCTGAGACTAAAGTACAATTTTTGTTCGTCAAACAGAGCTACCTGTTTGGGCAGAATTTGCCCCCCCCCCCCCCATCCTATTGAATTCCTTATTTGAGTTCATAAACGTACAAAAAAACATGGTTTTTAAGAACTGGTAGTTAAAAAGAAAATAAAACTTGAAAGCTAGTCAACAGCAGAAAGTCAATGCCAGGATGGTATAAGGTTAAACTCAAAGGTCCGTCTGTCTGTCCATTTTCTTCCACTTATCCGGGATCAGGTCTCGGGGGCAGCAGCCTATCAGAGACCCAGACTTCCCTTTCTCCAACCACTTGGACCAGCTCCTCTGGGGGAATCCCAAGGTGTTCCCAGGCCAGCCGAGAAACACTGTCCCGGGTCTTCCTCTGGGTCTACTCCCAGTGGGACATGCCCAGAACACCTCACCAGGGAGGCGTCCAGGAGGCATCCTAACCAGATGAACCACCTCAACTGGCTCCTCTGGATGTGGAGGAGCAGCGGCTCTACTCTGAGTCCCTCCTGGATGACCGAGCTTCTCACCCTATCTCTAGAGAGCCCAGACACTCTGTGAAGGAAACTCATTTCAGCTGCTTGTATCTGTGATCTCGTTCTTTCAGTCACTACCCAAAGCTCGTGACCATAGATGAGGGTAGGAACGTAGACCGACAGTTAAATCACCTTCTGGCTCAGCTCCAGCTTCACCACTACAGACCGGTACAACGCCCGCATCACAGCAGACGCAGCACCAATCTGCTTGTCGATCTCCCGCTCCATTCTTCCCTCATTTATGAACAAGACCCCGAGATACTTAAACTCCTCCACTAAAACTCAAACTAAATTCAAACTCAAAGTTCACTTAAATAAATTGTATCTGACAAAAGAAATAAAAGAAAATTAACTAAAAAAAATAACTGTTGGTATTACAGTGACTGCTTTTGAATTGTGGCTCAACAAAATTATTTTAGAAAAAACAAACAAATGAAACAGGCCTCAACTAAAAGTATGAAACCCTTAGAACAGATTGAAACTAATTTTAATATAGGAATATGTTAAACTAAAGTGTGTCCTGTTTTTAGCATCACCTGTCTTCAATCTTGTAATCAGTCTGCCTATTTAAATAGCCAAAAGTAGTCACAGGGCTGTTTGGTATCATGGTATGTTGCACTGAACACAGACCACAGAACACTAAGGACAGAGTTACTCAGGAGCTTAGAAACAAAATCACTGACATCATATTAAAACTAAAAACTGTAAGACCATCTCCAACCAGCTTGATGTTCTTGTGACTACAGCTGCATGGATGTTTCAGAAGCTTAAGGTTCACAGTCCCAGAAACAACCTCCTTGGACATGTCCACAAGAAGAAAACTGATGACAAACTAAAAAGACGAAATATACGAATGATTACCAAAGAGACCAGAATAACTTCCAAAAGATTAGAGGAGAACTCCAAGGTCAAAATACATCAGTGTCGGATCAAACCAGGTCACACTTTCAGCCAAAGAAGATGGCCACGGAGGACACCCCTGCTGACAGCAAATCATTAAAAACTGGAATTTTCCAACATACATAATAAGCCACAAAGCTTGAAAAACGAGGATGTCTTTTGGAAAGATGAGACAAGAATTAGAGCTTTTATTTTTTGTAACAAGTCCCATCAGCTCCATGTTCACAGACCCATGAAAGAAACAGAATAGGATGAAAATAATCCTGAACCCAGAGAAAGTCTGGTTCTGCTCTGGGGCTGCTTTGCTACATCTGGGAAAGGCTGTTGTGAATCTGTACAAGGGAATCCCAAGACTATCAAGGCATTCTGGAGCTAAATGTGCTGCCCAGTGTCAGAAAATGTGGTCTTATGCAGACCATGTGACCTCCAATAGGATGCAAAACACAGCTAAATAAAACAAAAACTAATATGCGAAGGACCAAACATTGGACTATTCTGAAGTGGCCTGAACATCTAAGGAGACGAAAAATGCAGTCTGGAGAAAGAACTCTTCAAACCTGAGACAGCTGTAGGAGTTTAAAAGGAGTGGGCCAAAATACCTCCGGACCGGTGCAGAAACCTCAGAGAGACAACAGTAATCACTTGTTTGCAGTGATCACCTTCAAAGGTTCAGTGTACCATCCTTTTTGTCAGGGCCAGTTTTATTAGTTGTTTTAAAAATAATTATGTTGTTTCAAAATTCAAAAGAAATGTCTAATTTTCATTTGTTGATGTTCAGTGAACCTTTTAGTCAGTTTCAAGTTGTTTTATTGACCTTTTTTCAACAAAAAGGTACAAATGTGCCCATGTCTATAAACATTTTACATAAAGATATAAATGAATAGGTTAAGCTTCAATAAGCTGCAAAATAAAAACAAAAACAGGCCTATATCAGGTGCAGTTTTTTTTATCTCCTGCATTGTAGTATTCTTCAAATAGCCCAAAGCAGAAAACATTATAAAAAAAAAAGTCCTGAAATTTTGTTGTGGCTTTTGTTTTTACCGTGCCACCCCCCAAAAGGCGCCCCCTGCTGTCAAACTGTTGTGATTGGTGTTTTTCACAGATTCAACTATAAGGGAGTCAAATTGCATCTTTGTAAGACTGACTGTAAAGATCCTGTAAAGATTGTTGGGACAATATACAGGTTTGTGACGTCACCAGCAGAGGGCGCCATCATTGTCAACAAGGCTCCTGTTGGGTCTCCTGTCTGGTTCAGCAGCACAAAGGGGAGGCGTCTCTGGAAATTAGCAGCAACAAAGCCCCTCCATCCTCTGTGTAGACCAGACCTCCCAGCTGTCATATTCAGACCCAGCTGAGGAGCAACACAATGACCCCCCCCACCCTTTTTTTCCTTCTTTTTTTGTTACAGCATCATGAGGATCCCCCACCCCCCTCCTCCTGAGCAGGACAAAGACAGTCCACCTGCACTTTCTGCAGGGAGCAGCGAGACAAGCTGTACATTAATCTGTGATGATAATAATTCAGCTGTGAGTTTACTGTAAACACAACCTTTTGGATTATTCTAGACCCGTGTCAGAGCTGTGGTCATTAAGGTCCGGTTTCCTGTACTCACTGGGTCTCTTGGTGGTGCTCCAGGGCAGAGGAGTGGGCACGAAGCCTTCTTTATGGCCCAGCAGGGTCAGACTGAGGCCCGGGCTGTACCCGACCCAGAGCAGAACCTCCCCGCTCTGCCCCGTCTGGGAGGAACCCCTCAAGGTGTGGTTGACGTACACGTCCACCCAGGCCCCCACCAGTGGCTGACGGGTCACCAGATCTCTCAGGAGCACCTTCAGGGCAAACTGGGGCTCTGGAGAAGAAGGGAGAATAAAAAAAGATTATCTGATGATTACCACATCTGTGCTGCACGTGTGACTCTGCACGCAGCTGCATTGGGCAAGCCTCATCTGCTGATGAAAAAGTGATGAGGCAGGCACAGCTGAGCTGCTGGGAGGGTGGAAAATTACATGAAAACCAAGTGACAGCAGAGAGGAGAACCAGCAGCTGGATCTGAATAACAAATCTGCCTTTAAACTGGTGTTTGAGCTGAACAGGGTCGGGTTGTCATCCTTGGGTGTCCCCTAGACTGTAAACATCAGAGGACAACAATCAATGTCAATTAGGCTCAAACATCAACACTTTTCCTTATTGTTTATTTATATCTGTGCTGTATAAACAGAGGAGTCCTGAAATAAACACATAACCAGTCGTGGAGGAGCTCATTTCCATTTTCTGTAACAATAAGTGAGCAAAGCGGGATTTCTTTGTGTTTGTTTACCTGCAGTCAGAGCCGAGGGCGTCAGGAACCTCCCCTCACCGGACATCACGTCTCCGACCGCGGCCGTCGGGCTATTGTCACCCGCCCAGGGGGAGGCCAGGCCTCCGCCCTCCCCCACCGCTCCCATCGACCCATCCAGGCCGGAGATCAGCAGCGACGAAGGCAGGAAGAGGAGCAGCAGCGGCAGGTAGCGATCAGAGGCGGACATGTCGGGAGGGGCGGCAAGCTCAAAGACATAACGAGGCCCGAGGAAAGAGCTCGAGGTCCCAGCTGTGTGTTTGTCCACGTCACGAGGGTCTCGTCCCGCTCGTCGGGGGCTTGTAGTCGTAGGAGCGAATGGAGGAGAAGAAACCCCACCAGGGAGGAAAAAAGATGCGCTGGTACTGAGGCTGGGCGTGTAGCCGAAGATCGTTTATAACGAAAAGATGACCCACTCACTGATTACAACACCACACGCAATCGACCGCGAATACTTTTACCAAAAGGGCAAATAATCTGAAAATGTCTTTTTAAATTTAGCATTATTAAGAAATGTTTACAAATTTAAAAAATAAACTGTTGCTCTTGTCACTCTGTTACACTGTGATAAAACAGAGTGAGACATCTTTTTATCCTATCTTTGGTGAGCTGGAAGAAGCTGTTACATCACTGATTCCTGGTTTCCTTGTGGATTCAAACTCCACAGTTTACACAAATGTTTATGAATATTTAAATGCACTTTTTTATTAAATTCAGTTATATATTTAATTAATTCCAAATATATTAATTTGTAACCCTTGAAATAACTGAGGCTTGTGACCTCAGCCATCATTAACTTGAAGTATACAAACGTTCTTGATGTTTGTTTTTATTTTAATAATTTATTATAATTTATTAACAAAAAGAGAAAATAAATGACATTTTAAATGACAAAAAATAAAATACTTTACATTATATACAAATTTCTAAATGTGAGATGTTTTCCCATAAAATGTATCAAATTATATCTGAACTATATGTTTTATATCTCTGAATAAATACCTTAACTTTAAAATCTCACAAAATTCTATAACCATTTGTTCATTGAAAAACAATTTGATTTTAATCTTTTCTTAGTTTAAAAGTAATGTTCTTTTAGCAATTATAAAAGCCATTTAGGCCCACCAATGGTGGGTTATGCTCTCTGACTATTTATTTATTGAACTGTAAAATAATTCAAGATATTTTGGGGGTTCAAATCCATTGCAATGCTTTTGCTGTGTATTTACTCTGCACCTTTTTCATTCCTCATCAGTTCAACAATTAAGAAAAGGCTTACTTTCCCACCCATTTTTTCCAAAAGTAACAAATTCATGACATTTTTAGGATGTATTGTACGACATGCCTAAATTTCTAAAATTTCCAAAAGTGTGTATTTGCTCAGTGTGACTGTGTGGTACGGAAGCTGCACTGTCCAGGTCAGAAATGACTTGGCCTGGGCGGTGAAAACTGCCCAGTGGATTGTGGGGGATCAGTTACCAAACCTGGACTCAGTTTACGCTGGCAGACTGTAAAGGAAGTCCAGTTGTATTGCTGCTGATCCCACCCACCCAGGACACAAATTGTTTGTACCACTGCCATCTGGGAAACGATACAGAAGCATAAAGACCAAAACCACTCAACTAAGGAACAGCTTCTTCCCAAGAGTTGTTAAATCCATCTGTCCACCTTCCATCCCCTCTACCTCCCTGCAGTCATACTCACATCCATTCACTGCACCTTGAGAACAAACTGAGATCACACATATAAGCGTTATTTATTTATTTATTTATTTATTAGCACATATATAAGCTTATTATTTTATTTATTACTTATCCACTTACACATATACATATATATATAAGCTTTATTATTATTATTTTTTACTTATTGAGGGCAACATGACAATTTTGTTATGTTCTAGAAATGTAATGACAAATAAAAATCTTATGTCTTATGTAAATTTGGAATGAGCAAAAGTCATTATGGTTTTGTAATTGGTATTCAAAAGTTCCTTGAAGGAATCAGGAAGTCATCCTTTGTGGTTGTGTCTCCAGATACTCTACATCCTCTTCACCACTAGGTGTCACTGTGGCAGAGTGGCTGCAAGGAGTTTACATTGAACAGCGATGAGTGGCTGTGACATTCTGATTTGCTCCAAGTAGGATCAAAAAGTCAAACATTCCATATTATTGTAATTCAGACTGTTGTTTTGTTTTTATCATTTTCAACAATCAAACTGAATGAACTGAAACCATCTGGGAGGAACACAATAACACATTTTATACAGTTTGAATGACTGATGTACTGGTAGTGTAGCTGTATATGCACTATAGTTTTTGCAAAAATTGCTATGAATTTTAGAATTCTGGAGTATTTGAAGACAGAAACAGATCTTTGGAAGTGGCTTTGTTCAGACTGAACTGTTCAAGTGGCCCTACGTCTTAAATCACCTCTAATATTCCAGTTTTGTTGATGCTTATTACCTATATTTTATTTGATTAAAATATTACCCTATGTTAGAAATAACTTTATTGATCCCTCTGGAAGAGTTCCTCAGGGAAGTTAAAGAAAAACTGTTCCGTCTGTGCCACAGCTGGCCCCATTGTGGTTTGGTTTCTGTGGTGCTGGTCCATGCATGGACCTCCTCTGGCAAATCACATGGGTGGGCCGCAGTGTATTGTGTGGGCCAGACAAATTTTGCCTTGTGGAAACATTAAAGTTATTTTGACATAATTATGATGAAAATCTTCTTGAACTTTACCCACTGTTGTACCTGAAGTCAGATTGTTGCTGCTGAAGTTCCAGATGGAGTTTGTCCACTTATAATAATAAATAATTAGTTTAACATTTCATTAAGAAACAAAATTAAGATTTAGTTATCAGATCCTTACGAAACTGTAAAAACAAAGTTAAATAGAAGACAAGAGCACTTTCGTTGTCAGTAAATTACTCACATACACTCACCAACCACTTTATTAGGTACATCTACCAGGTTGGACCCAATTTTACCTTCAGGGCTGCTTTAATCCTTCATGGCATAGATTCAGCAAAGGTACTGGAAACATTCCTCAGAGAGTCTGGTCCACATTGACATAATAGAATCACACAGTTGCTGCAGATTTGTCAGCTGAACATCCATAATAAGAATCTCCCGTTCCACCACATCCCAAAGGTCTCTATTGGATGGAGATCTGGTGACTGTGGAACCATTCCAGTACAGTGAACTCATTGTTGTGTTCAAGAAACCAGTCTGAGATGATTTACACTTTACGACATGGAGCATTAACCTGCTGGAAGTAGCCATCAGAAGATGGTACACTGTGGTCATATAGGAATGGACATGGTCAGAAGATGGTACACTGTGGTCAT